GAGAAAGATGATACTAGGGAAGAAAAGGAGAATGGACAAGGGATTACTTATTATCCCACATAATCAGAGTACAAGTAGAAGACTATAGATAAATGAGGAAGGGGAAAATATCACTTGAACCTCACTTTGAACTGATACAGTGAGGTGAGCAGAACCAGGAGACCATTTTAGACTATAACAACAACACTGTAAAAATGAACAATTTTGAAAGACTTCTAATTCCAGGATTTCAACTCTGATTCCAGAGGAATTTAAAATGCTGCCTAACACCTGACAGGGTGATGGTGACAGAAGACACATGCAGAGTAAGACACTTTTATGTACATGGTCAATGTAAAAATGCCTTAATTGTATATTTGTTGCAAAGGTTTTGTTATTCTCTTTTTCTTTTTTCAGGGTGAGGGAAGGAAAATTTTGTAGTGAGAGAGAGCGTAGATGTTTGTTAATTGAAAACAATAAAATTTTTAAAAAGGCAGAGAAAGTAACCGAAGTAAATGTTATTCTGAAACTGATTCTGATCAATAAGAGTAGTTAAGTGGAAATTAAGTGGGAGGAGAAAGTAATCAGAATCAGTTACTGAAATATGAGGAAGAGAATTTGGTAAAGATCTTACGTGTAGTTTGGGAGGGTAGATTTCAAAGAGTTCAGAAAAAAGATAGCCAGACTTCCATGACCTATGAGTCCACAGGGAAAGTTTGCTCAAAGACATTATGTTCTCAAGAACATAATTCTAGGGGGTAGCTAGGTGGTGCAGTGGATAGAGTACTGGCCCTGGAGTCAGCAGGACCTGAGTTCAAATCAGGCCTCAGACACATAACACTTCCTAGGTAGGTGTGTGATCCTGGGCAAGTCACTTAACCCCATTGCCAAGCCAAAAAAAAAAGAAAAAAAAAAAAAGAATACAATCCTAATATACAAATGACTTCAACCATGAAGGAAAAGGAGACATTCTCTAAAAAGAAAGATGTGGCTATGACAGAAACAAGGGTAGGCAACCAGCAACATCCCATATAAGAATGGTAGCAGAAGTTTAAAGCCTAGAACAGGCCGCAGATTCCCCACTCCTGGCCTAGAATGAACTGACGCGTGAAATAAATACTAAGAATTAAAAGAGTGTTCTTAGCTACCTTCAAAGCAAGAAAAAAAAAAAAAACAGGCAGGGATAGAACACTGGAGAAAAGTCTGGTTATGAAGAATTCTCACCATGCACGAGCTCAAGGCCCCATGCTGGAGTTGGTAAGCAGTGTTGAGAAAGACATGGTACTGCTGATTAGTGTCTATTGAAAGGCATTCTAAATCTTTGACTTTCATAACACTATGTTCTCCTGCCTATTCTACATATCTGACCACTTTTTTAAAGCCTTTTTTGGTCTACTGCCGATATCAAATCTGGATTTCTTCAGATCCTCTTTTCCCTATACATACTCTCTCCCCTGCTATTTCATCAACAGCCATGGATTTAATTATAAACTCCGCCAAAAGAGTCTAAAATCTATATACAGACAGCTCCTATACTCCATTCTTGCATCACCAACTGCCTGCTGGACATTTCCACCAGGATGTGTCATTACCACCTTAAGCTCAACATGTCCCAACTGTAACTCATCATCTATTGCCCTAAAACAGCTCCACTCCAAAACTTTGTTATTCTGATGAGTTCACTATAGCATATTCCTATTCACCCAGATTCACAACCTAGTCTTTGAATGTTTCCCTCTCCAGTCAACCACATATTTAATCATTGTCATTGTTAATTCTACCTCCACTGTATCTTTCATGACTGTTTCCTTTTCTGCATTCACATGATCACCATCCTAGTTCAAGCTCTGATCACCTCTTACCTCAACTAATGTAAAAACTAATGTAATAAAACTCCCTTTAGTCTTGGCCATCTTCAATTCATCATTCACAGGTGTCCGAAAGAAGCAAGCATATTATTCTTCTGTTTCACAGATCCCTAGTGCCTCTGGAAAAGAATATAAACTCAACCTAGAATTTAAGCCCTTCCACATTCAAAGCCAATCTATCTTTCCAAACTTAATTTCACACACTATACATTCCTGCCAAACTGTAAACACTATATTTGCAGAAATTGTTCTGCGCGCATAGAATGCACTCCCTTCTCATTTCTGTCTTTTAGAATCAATACCTTCAAGATTCAGTTCAAGGTACTATCTCTCCCATTGGACTTCCTTAATTCACCAGCTGACAAAGCACCTTCTCTCCTCAAATTACCATCAATGAATAAACGTTTATCAAGTATCTATTATGTGGCAAACACTGTGTTAAGGCAGCTATACAAAGGATATAAAAAGAGGCAAAAAACAAACAAGAACAGTCTGTGTCCTCAAGGAGCTCATAATCTAATGTGGAAGACAACAACTTTAACAAACATGTTTGTTAGCTATATAGGAAAAATAGGAAATAATTGGGAGGAAAGGAACTAGAATTAGAAGAGGTGAAAGTTTTCCTGTAGATCAGATTTTAGTTGGGACTTGAAGGGAACAGAGAAAGCTAGAAGGTGAAGATGAGGAAGGAGAGCATTCTAGGTATGGGGGACAGCCAGAGAAGATGTCCAGAGCCAAGAGATGGAATATCTTGTTCAAGGAACAGCAAGGCCACCAATGTCAATGGATCAAAGAATCTATGGTAAGGAGTAAGGTGTGAGAATTCGAAGGGGGTAGAGTTGGGGAGGGGTGGCGTGAAGGGCGCGCTAGGTTATGAAGAGCTTCGAATACCAAACAGAATATTATATTTGATCATGGAGGTGACAGTGAGCCAATTTATTGAGTGGGGGCAAGTGGGAAGGGAGGATAGCAGTTGACAGTAGTGTAAGCTGGACCTGCACTTTAGGAAAATCACTTTGGTGGTGGCTGAATGGGGGATGAATTGGAGGGGACAGAAATTTGAGGCAGGCAGATTTGCCAAAAGTATACCACAACAGTCCAGGAGCGAAATGATGAGGGTCTACACCAAGGTGGTGCCAGTATTAGAAGAGAGAAGGATTTGTCCTTCATTTTCGAAGAGGACCATGACATCAGAAAGATGATGCCATGACTTGCAAGTGAACTGGATTAAGTGCAAAGTCATCAGCCTCACTTTCTCCTCCAGAGCCATCTGGATCCAGCGGCTGGATATAGATCAGGACATCTGGAGATGGCCCAGCTGAGAGATGCTGTAAAGGTGAAATTGATAAGCCTTGGTAACAGATTGGATATGTGGAATAAGAGAAAGTGAGAATTTGAGAATGATACCTAGAGTGTGAGTCTAGGAGCCTAAAATGGCAGTGTTGCCTTTGACAATAATTGGGAAGTTTGAAGGGGTGGGGGACTGAGGGGAAAAAATAACGACTATCTTTTTTTCATATGTGTACCCAAAGTGCTTAGCACAGTGCCTGACATGGGTGCTTAATATTTTTTTTTACTGGACTGTTCCATTGATCTTTTTTTTCCCCATTTTTTTCCCAGTAATAAATAGTTTTGATAATTACTACTTTAAAATAACAGTTTTCAAGTAGAGGTCTAGAAACATAATTCTCTCTTCATTACTACTTTTACCACTGTTTCCCTTGATATTCTAGATGTTTTTGTTACTCAAAATTTGTCATTATTTTTTCTGACTCTATAAAGTATCCCATTGGCATAGTGCTAAACTTGTAAATTACTTAGTTGGTATTGCCATTTTCGTTGAGTTAAGTTCTTTCAAATAACATTTCTGTTTCTGAGAGCTGAAAGAGTGGCGTTCCTCAAACCCTTTCACATACTTCATCAGACAGGAGACCGAGCTACATTTTATGTACATGCAGCTTTCACTTGACTTTTGAAGGAAGACAAACATGGCAAAAATCTCTGCAAATTACTGCCATCACACTTTAAAAACAACTTTAATCCATGTCGTTTGCTTTTATATCACATTCATTTGGGGAGAAAACCTATATCAAATATCTCTCACAAGGGTCTGATATAAAAAATATATAGGCAAGTAAAAGAAATAAGACCAAAGGTCAGTATCAATAGAGAAGAGGCAAAAGTACATGAACAATTCTCAAAGAAGAATAACAAACTACTAAGAGAAACAAAAATCAAAAAAGCTCAAAGGTTTCAAGTCAACACCAGAAAACTGGCAAAGACAAAAAAGGGGGGGAATAGGAAATGTCAGAGGGGTTCGGAAAGGACAGGCATTCTACTGTACTGTTGGTGGGGCTGTGGATTGATCCAACTATTGTGGAAAGTAAGAATTACTTGAATAAAGTTAAATAGTCAAATCTTTGAACTCAAGGGATTCCATTGCTAGGAACATACCCAAAAGGAATTCCAATGAGAAAAACAAAGGCTGCATATAACATCAAAATACTTACAGCATTATTTTTTTGGGTAACAGCAAGGAACTGGAAACAAAATACACGCCCACTGATAAGGGAATGGCTAAACAAACTGCGGCATATGAATGTAATAGGATATTACTATGCTTAAGAAACAATGAATGAGATTAATATAGAGAAGCATGAGAAGATTTATATGAATTGATGCAAAGTGAAATAAGCAGAACCAGGAAAACAACATACATAATGACTACAACAAGGTAAATGGGAAGAACAAAACAAATGAATCTGAATGCTGTAAAATTAAAATGATCACACCTAGCCCCAAAAAAGAGAACCGATAAGGAATGTTCCCCACACCTCATCCCCAAACTATGAGGAAGTATGAAACACAGAATTTCAGAAATTTTTTCAATGTCATTTACTTTTGTTAAACTGTTTTTCCTTCCTCTTTTTAATTCTTTATTATAAGGGATGGCTCTCTGGAAAGGAAAGATAGGAGAGAAATTGGAATATGTAGGTGATGTAAAAAAAAAGATAATAAAAATTTATTTTTAGGAAAATGATGAGCTTAAGACATTAAACAGCAAGGTAAAAAGCTACAGGAAGTACTAGACCTTGTTAGCTCAGCACTTAAGATTCAAAATTTCAGCCGGTACACTTTGACCAAGTTGCCTACCTTTTTGAGGTACTCATATCCACTGGCTCATCACTTGTCTGTACTTCCACCTTAATAGTTGCCTTAACTTCTCCTTTTAGTAATCCTTGGACCTTGGCTGCTCCAGGCTCAGACTTCATTTTCAAATCACCTTCAGTCTTGTGGTCTGATCCCAGTAATCCTTTCTCCATCTTTATTTTTTTACTATCCACATCATTTATGGTTGTCTCACGTTCAAGTGCTCGCTTTTGACTCCGTGTTCTGCATGCTTCCTCGGTCATTCTGAAGTTCTAGTAAGAGAAGAGGGAGGAGAAGACAAGTTTAAAATTTTCTGAAATAAAGTGTGTATCTTATTTATTTTTTGTTTCTTTGAAGTTGCCTTTTTGAATGTTTCCTCCAGCAATAATGATGACAAGGGTTGTTATAGCCAAACAAGGAGTTTCTGAAGCACATAAAATTCCCTCACTTTCTCCAAGAGTCTTTCGTCTAAACTTTGTCCATGGCTCCTAGTCACCTGTATCATTATAGCAAAGAGAAAAGATAAGCAATAGTAAGTATGGGAGTAGAACCACAAACCACTCTAATGCACAACTAGAAACCTTCAAAGATGAAAAATGAAAGTTGGCTGCTTACCAAAAAGAAAAGAGCTTCTCTCTGCATTCCAGCCTCAAAGTCAAAGTACAAGAAACCTAGACCTGAATTTTTCTGCAATTTTTGCTTGTGGGGTCTGTAGCACCTGCATTTGCTGTCAGTTATCAGGAATCTTAGGTGAAGGGGAAAAGAACTACCTTGTCTTGCAGGAAAAGAGCTCTTTCTGAATTTCTGTCCAGTCTATTCCATAAGAAACTAAGCTATTGCCATTGTGATAATATTCAAGTTGATACTTTCTACTCCCTTTTAATGAATGAGGCCCGTTTGCCCATTCGGAGCACAGGAAGTGCTCAACTCCTCTGGGATCATATTTAACCCCTGTAATTCCAGAGTTATTGAAACTTTTAGGCTGGATAGGTTTGGGCATTTCACTCTGCCACTTTCCTGTACCTGCATCACACACACATCTAGATGAAAAAAGCTGAGTCAGTTTTTGATCCCATGACATCACTGGGCTCCACATGACCCTTCCCAGGATTCAGTCTGAGAGACAAAGCACTTTCCAGAAAACCAGTCTGAACCGGTTCCAGACAACAAGCTGAAGTGTTGTTAACCCTCACAGAGACACGACAGCAGCAGCAGCAGCAGCAGCAGGAGCAGCAGCAGCAGCAGCAGCAGCAGCAATGTATGTCTGCAAAACTGTTGTTGGCATTCCAAAACACAAGTCTGGCAGGGTAGCATCACTGCTCTTAAAGGGGCAGTTGACTAAAAATTCCCAAGGAAGACTACTTTAACTATTTTGGCCTTTTGGACTTTTCTGTGGCAAAAGGATCTCACTGTTTTTGCTTTGGCTTTATTAATTTAGAATAGATATTTAAGAAAGTACAAGTCTTAAAAAAGCACAAGCTACAGAGAATTAAGGACTGGAAGTCTGTCTTACTCATCAAAGTAGAACTACAAAGCCTATCAGTCACCTGAATGACTTGAAGAAAAGGGCTATCTTGAGAGGAAAACTCTCTCTATGCCATTATTTCAATTATCCAGAACCAAGAAGGTCATAATTTCTTGCTTTACTGAATTTACTTCCTAGTTAGGAAAACAGCAGTCAATTTCTACAGCATACAAGGCTCCCTTATTAACTTAGAAGGGGACAAACGTGAATTAAAATAAAAGCCAAATATGATGCTTGCTCAAAGGGAGAAAATAACAGGGGAAGTTAAGCCAAAAACAAACAAAAACAAACCATGTTCCACTGGGTTTCTTTTTTCCATCCTACCTCTAAAATTTGCCATAAGCCCCACCCACCTTCCTACTGCCACTCCTGAGCCTCCGTTACAGCTTTCCTAATACAATGCTGACCACCACTTTTCTTAATAAACAGTAGACTTCTATCCAGGAACTGTATGATGACATGACAAAATAAATGACCATAAAGTTATTATTCAAACTGGTTCACTTCTGAGTCCCATTTACAGAGTTAGTTTGTCCACCTTGATCATTTTATACATCAGAAAACAAAGGCCCTAAAAAATTGACTTTGCCTATCTGTGTCTCAGCTTGCTCACCTGTAAAATGGGGAATGGTGAGGAACAACAATGATCACTCAATAGACTGTAACGGGGGACATTCCTTCCAGTTCCAAATCAAGTATTTTATGACTTTGCCTAAAGTCAAACAGCTAGTATAAAACAGCAGAGTTAGGCCTTTCAAACTCAGGTCATCAGACCCCCAAGCCAGTGCTTTTTTCATACTATCTAGGAACAATGATACCATACTTCGTATGATGTGAACTGTCAGGGACCTAACGAAGCAAAATAAAAAATAACCTTATTTTATATGGAACTAAATGAGAATCAGGTTCTACTTTGGGAACTGGTTATAACATCCCTCTTTCAGTTAAATACATGCCCCACCTCTGCAGGACTAACCCCAAAGAGAATCAAAAAGACATTTTTTTTTTTGTGAGATGTTTAAAAAGTATTAGAAATGGGAGAGAGAAGGCTGGGTTGATATTTGGAATGTCTACTTCCATCAATTATTATCATTGACTATATGAACATACTATACTTCCATCAATTATTATCACTAACTATATGAACATACTATAGATAGATAGAGAGAGAAAGAGAGAGACAGACAGACAGACATAAAATTTGGAAAAATAAGTTCAGAAGTCCAATTATTGTGGCCTGATCACTACAGTGACAAGTCATGACTCCACAGAAGTAATGGCGAACCATGTCTCCCTCTTCTCTGTAGAGGCAAGAGATTTTTGGCATATGTGAAATGAGGCACATGTAATCAGATAAATTTGCTTAACTGTACTGTGTTACTAGGAAGGACTCTATCACTAGGAGCTAGTCAATGGAGAGTGACAATTATATATACAAAACCCAGCACTGACATAACCTTTTTAAAAAAATATACTCAAGGTGAAAACACAACTTACTGTATCATTCAAACCTAAAAAGACAAAATGGTTCTTTGGATTAAAAAGGCAATTCAATACATAGCACCACAGAATTATAGAGCTGGAAGAAACTTTGGAGACCATCTTAAATATATTAATATATTAACTGAATCCATAAAGACTCAGAAATCAGTATAAAGAATACCTCTGAGATTTAATAGGTTTTGTGAAAATGATGCAAAATTGAGAAATTATGCCAATTTTCAAGCAGAAAAAGTACAGCATGAAATAAATTGATACATACATAATTTTATTTTTAATATTTTGAGGGGAAAATATCACTAGAATTGAAATTCTCACAAAAATTCACACATCCAGCAGGGTTCTTAATGGATATAATTTGTGCAATAACTTAATTCATTAGACCCCACATTCTACTTATGGGAAAGTGATGCCCAGAGAGTAAGTTACCACAGTATACTCAAGAGGTAGCACATCATAATGGAAACACCATTGGAAGGAAGCCAGGAGACCTGGGCTCCAGTCTTGTCTCAGTGATTAACTAAATATCTGATCTCTGTTGAAGCATTGTCCCTCTTTGGGCCTCAGTTTCCTCACCTGTAAAAAATAAAGTTTTTGAAGAAGGTGATCTCTAATCCTTTTCATTTCTGAAATTCAATGGCTGTGACTTCTCCAACATGACAAAGCTAACTGGCATCAGAGTCCAGATCAAAATGCAGGTTTCCTGATTCTCAGAGTTTAGGTTGTTACACTAGGAATGGTGTTGAATCAAAATAGTAGTGTTAGGCTCTAGTAATCCAGGAATTTTGGACAACTCTAGTTCTTTCTAAGGGTCTCTTCATTCATCAGCTCTGTGTTGCTCTTCCTTTTTACTTCTCTTCCCAAATATTCTTTCAGGTTTATAAAGGTGTTTAAAAAAATGAAATAAGTCAGGAATACTTTCTTATAGTAAGAACCCTTGAATCTCTCTCTTTAGGATTAATTAACCTAAAACTTTGTTTGAAATCAACTCATCAATCAACCAATAAGCAATAAGTGACAGGCATTTCACCAGATGCTTTTTTATTCAGATAAAAAGCAAGCAATCCTTACAATCAAAGAGTTTTACATTTTATCAGAGAAGACAATGTGAACAATATGAAAAATTTCCTATATATATACTTTTTATATTTAACAAGGTGACTAGTAGAGAGTGGACACTAGCAGCTATAGAGATAAGGAAGGATTTTAAGTAGTCCTTGAATTGAATCTAGAAGGATGCTATAAAGGTCTAAGAGATAAAATTGAAAAAGGGTATTAAATAGCAAGTGGGATAGCTAGTGCAAAGGCATGTCAAAAGCATATCATTTATAAAACACTATGTGATAGGTGTACTAAGCTCTGAAGACACAAGGAAAAAGTGAAAACAATTTTTGCCCTCAAGAAGCTTACATTCTAATGGGAGAGGTAACATATAAAACAGACTTAGAAACAGTAAGGCTAGTTTGACTAGACCACAAAGGGCATGAAATAGAGTAATAAAGCTAAAAAGGTAGTCCAAGTTGTGAAGGGCATTAAATGTTAAACAAAGAAGTTTATTTTTGACCCTAGAAGTAATAGAGTCACCTGAATATACTGAGGAGATATGACATGGCTCAACAGCACTTTAGGGACATGATTTGAGGTAGTTGTATGGAAGATGGATTGGAGTGGAGAGAGACTTGAGGCAGTGAGACCATTTAGGAAGTTATTCTAAGAACCCAACCAAAGGGGCAGCTAGGTGGAGAAGTGGATAGAGCACTGGCACTAGAATCAGGAGGGCTTGAGTTCAAATCTGACCTCAGACACTTGACACTTACTAGCTGTGTGACCCTGGTGAAGTCACTTAACCCCGATTGCCTCACACCCCCCCCCCAAATAATCCAAACAAGAGATGATAAGGACCTGAACCAGAATGGTGTCTTTCTGAGTAGAGAGAAATGAGAAATGCTGTGGAAATATATATCATAAAATTTGGAAAATGACATACACACACACACGTAGAGAGAGAGAGAGAGAGAGAGAGTGATGAGTAGAGGATGACAAGTCTGTGTCACTTCTTTGCTTCTAAAACTTTCAACAGTTCCCTACTACCAAGCCAAATTGTCATTGAAAGCCTTCCACAATCTAGCACTACAACCTTATCTTCCTCTACAAGAAGCCTTTTCCCAGCCCTCTTAATTCTAGCGTCTTTCCTCTATTGATTATTTGCAGTTTATCCTGTATAAATTTGTCCATGCAATGTTATTT